GCTATCACCACCACCATCATCACCATCACCATCCCCAGTACCATCACATCATCATCATCACCATCATTACTATTGCCATCAACACCATCACCACCACCATCAACACCATCGCCACCACCACCCAAACTTCCACTGATACCACCACCACCACCATTATTCTGATGATCATCACCATCCAGCTTCTCCTCGTCCGCACAACCATCATTGCCATAATCACTCTCATCATTACCATCATCACCATCACTACCAGTATCACCATCCTCCTCCATTGTCACCATCATTAGCATCTTCATTACCATAATCATAATCTTCATAATCATCATCGGATAAGGAGATGGAGGCCCAGAGAGGTTAAATCATTAGCCCAAATTACACAGCTATGTGCAGGAGTTGGGATTCAAACCCAGACTTGTTCTCTAAGTGCTGACTTCTTAACTGCAAAGCTTTCCTGGCTCTCTGCTCTTGAACTCAGATTCAGGAGGAGACAATCTCAGCTAGGTTCTGCAGCCTGGTCATCCTCTAAAGATGGAGATAAGTCATGGCTGAGATGGAACTGACTTCATATCACAATCCAGACCTTCTGACCTGCTCTACCTCACATCTGTCCTCCTTCCCTCTGAGCTCTGTCCTCCTGCTTCCTGACAACGGGCCTCTTTTTAACCCTCCCATCCACTTTCACTCTGACTATAACATCTGTCTGCTCCCCAGCTTCGGGCACCGTGGCTTCTCTGGAGCCCCTCTTGATTTTGGTCCCAGGTATCAAGGCTGACCCTTACCTAGCCCTTTGCTCTACCTTCCCAGCTTTAGGGATTTATAATCCCGGTCCCATCATTTCCCCCAACCCCTAGTTTGCACCGATGGTCATTCGGGATCAATCGGAAGCCAGGGCTCGAGCTCTGAGGGCAGGGCCCCGAATGGCCCCTCCAGCTGCTCACTCGGGGCCAGTCGCACCTCCTCCTTGCTGTGTTTCACAAAGCACTGGTGGCCTGCATCAGAGCCACTTCCACTCTTCTGCGTGGAGAGGTCTGCAATTGTCAGAGGAAACGTTCTGTTTTACCCTCTTGAAAATGTCACCAAACACACTGGGAGTGGTTCTTGATTACAGACATTCCACAAGCCAGTGGTTTACCTACATGGTGATAAACAGAGGAATTTTCTGTTGAGATGGCTGCTCAAAATGTCACTCAGCTCCCGCTCAGCTCTGAAACGCCCGATCTTATGATATCATGTGACTATGAATGGGGCTTCAGCAGAGATGAAAGGCTGATACTGTTCGAGGGTCTGTAACATACCAGGTGCTGGTGGAGAAGTGACTTCATTTACTCTCAACAGACTGTTTTACAGAGGCAAAAACTGAGCCCAGAGAGGTTATGTATGTTTCCCAGGCTCCCACAGTAAGCACAGAGAAGGGCTGAGATTTGAAACTAGGTTGATTGATGCTCGCCCCAGATCCTTCCGTTTTTAAACAGAGACAGGAGAAAGGAGTTACTCCAAGCCAGAGGCTAAAGAGCAAGGAATCCAACCTCTCTTGCTGAATGAGGCCAGTCTGCAAACATTACAGGGAACAATTACCTAGGCAACTCCGAAATGGCTCACATGGCTTGTCTGTTGTGAATCTTCAGGGAGACCTTCTTTTATCCTCACCCTCCTCGCTCCTTTTTTAAGAGCCTTTAACACCTCTGTTTAAATAATGCATTTGAAGTGTTTTGTCAACACAAACTTATTTAAGAGTCCCGTGTGATGAGCTGGGGAGGAATATTTTTAATATGGGACCAAGGGGGACACCCAGGTTGAGCTATTTTGTTTCCGTTCACCCAAGAGCAAAATCAGAAGTAGATTTCCGTAGATTCCCAGCTCCCAGTCTGACAGTGATAACCGGGTCTGAGGGGAAATCAGGCCAATTGCGGTGAATCTGCTCACCCTGGGATCTAGCCACTTAATGGGTTCCTACGGGAACCAGGAAGCTACTGGTTAAGAGAGTGGGCTATCGGTTGGGTGACATCGGGTTCAACTCTTGGCTCTGCTGGTTATAAGTTGTGCAACTTTGGATACTTATGCTGTCTGAATCTCCATCGATTCATCTCTAAAGCAGGTTAATAATACCTAGTTCATGGGGTTGCAGCAATGGTTAAACGAGGTTAAGCTGATAGCCCTTAGCTGTGTGGCACCTGCTGTTACTTTTTCTACTAATGTGTTCATGGGCTGATTAGACAGAAACAGAAAAAGGGAAAATGCTGGTTCTGTATAAAGCCAAGGTTGCTCTAAGCCAGCATGGTCTGGTAGAACTTTCTGTGATGATGGGAACATCCTATGTCTACATTGTCCAATTTTATAGCCACTGGTTACATGTGGGAATGAGTACTTGAAATGTGCCCATGGTTAGCGAGAAACTGAATCTGAAAAAAAATTTTTTTTTTTAATTTATCTGACAGACAGAGATCACAAATAGGCAGAGAGGCAGGCAGAGAGAGAGAGAGAGAGAGGAGGAAGCAGGCTCCCCGCTGAGCAGAAAGCCCAATGCGGGGCTCGATCCCAGGATCCCGGGATCATGACCTGAGCCGAAGGCAGAGGCTTTAACCCACTGAGCCACCCAGGCGCCCCTGAATCTGAAATTTTATCTAATTTTAATGAAATTTAAGTAGCTAAATGTGGCTGGCGGTTATAGCACTGGACAGTGGCCCCTCAAGGACTTGGAACATTAAGTTCCAAGGACTTAATGTCTCAGAAGCCTGGGAAAGGAGGCATTCATCGCTTTTGCTGAGAAAAAGCATGTTCTCTGGGGGTTGGACAGCGCAGGTAGGGATACTCAGACCCTTTCTGAGCTGTCATGTCTTGTTCCCAAGGTACAGGACTTCAGGAATTCTCTGCTTCCCTTCCAGACTCCTACCTCCCATCATTCTCAGTCCTGATCTCCACTCTCTCCTCCTCCCAAAGAGCACCCTGTTGTCTGCTCTTACCTTTATACTTGACCTCCCTGGAATACCCTTTCATCCTCCCTCTGCCAGGAACCAGCTCCTACTCAACCTTCAACACCCACTTCACACCCCTCCTCTCCTGTGGGTTAAACAAGGTCATGAGTGTAAAATGCCCAACACATAGTCAGAACTAATTAAACATGGGTGTCTTCATTGACAACGAAGGTAACTTAAGCTCAGAGAGATTAGGTAACTCATCAAAGTTCGCACTACCAATGAGCAGTGGAGAAAGCCTGAAAGTCAGATGTTTCCTTCTTGC